GAGAGAGAGAGAGAGAGAGAGAGAGAGAGAGAGAGAGAGAGGGCGATTCGTGCCGTCGTGCGAGCGCGTCGTCGTCGTCGTCGACGACGATAAAATACACAAGTCGCAGTCGGGATTTGTCGCCAGGCAATTTACGGGCGGCCATTAGAACGTGATACACTCGGAGCTCCTTCAAGATACGGCTCGGATCTTAAACGATCGCTCTGTTCGTTTATCGGCGGCGAATCCCCGCGGCTGCGTGTCTCGAAGAGTGGACGGCGGCCCCCCTTCTGGCCAAGAAGGGGGCATCTCGCGACTCCTCGACGACGACGCGAGCTCTCGACGGAGAATCGGCGCCTGGGCGAAGGAAACGGTGCGCATTTCGTGCGACAAGATGCGACTGAGGAAGGACGCTTGCAGGGGAGAATTAAGCGAGTAATAATTGACGAGGCGCGGCGAAGTGGAAATTCATCGGCGGTCGTCTGCTACTAATTGGAGCGCGATCAATTTTCGAGAAGCGAGCCAATCTCGCGCCGAGCGATAAACCAATTGAAGACCAAGGTCTGTTGGTACTGTCAATTGTTAATGCGCGAGCGGCGCATACCCCGTCAAAATCGAAAGCCGCGGAAAATCGTTTTCTCGAGCAACGAGAAGAGAATGGAAAGAAAGAAAGAAAGAAAGAGGAATGTCTCCTGCGCGATTGGGACACGTCACGCTGCCGAGAATTATCGAAAACTGTAGAAAATTGCGATCGTCACGGCGATCTACAAGACGTACATATGTCTTCTCGTCTTGCGAAGGATTATTGTTCTTGATTCAACACGGTTCGCGAGTCATTTTTTTCACGCGCGCGCAAATCGAACTACTTTTTTCCAATACAACCACGCGCAGGAAAAAGGGGTGGCAGGAGGAAAGAGAGGGAATATTCTCCTGAAATCCGGGCTTTTTAGTTATCGGAAGTTATGGTGCGCCCTCTCTCCAATATACACATTCATCTCTATATTATTATCGGAGAATACTAAAATGCTATCGAAGATACTTCTGAACGATTATTGCGGAAAGCGCGGGCTTTAATTAAATTCTTTCGCAATAATCGGATTCGGCGCGTGAAAAAAAGAAAAAGAGATAGAAAATCTCCGTTGGAATCGCGCGAATGACGTGGACTTGATTAATCGCGTCTCACTCGATCGATGATCTTCCACCTCGCCGCGAACGCCGCGCGCCACGATCTCGCCCTTCGACGACGAGGATCCGAGGCGAAGGGAAGCGACGGAAGCGGAATTCGCGACCTGTCGAGCGTCTTTCGAATGCGAGCGACGAATCCGACTGCGTGAGATGTGTGAGTGAGAGATACACTCTCTCGGGAGAGCGAATCTTCGAACGATGAATGAGAGAACGCGCAAGCGAGAGGGAAGGAGCGAGCGTATGTGAGAGAGCGAACGTGAGAGAGAGAGAGAGAGAGAGAGAGAGAGAGAGAGAGAGAGAGAAATAGATGAAGCGAGAGCGGATAAGAGAGAAAGAAAGGGAGAGGAAGAAATCAAAGGGCATTTTGTTCTGCGATCTGTGAATGAATGCGAGAATGGCGAGACGATCGCGGTACGTACGTGGTTCGTAGTTTTGAAACATGTGATACGTCAGCCGGCAAGCTCGGCTTCCGGGCAACGACGAGGTGGCCGCGAGAGAGGCCGGCCGTCAGTCACCTCCCGGGGCCGCGGTCGGCACGAAATCAAAACGGGGACCGCGAGGTCGCAAGGCGTCGCCGGAGGTCGACGCTGGCTGGGTGGCGCACTTTTTGCAGGTTCTTTGAGGTAGGACGCTCTTTTGTTGACGGTTGATTGTTGTCAAAATGGTTGTGAGGTATAATACTATTTGAAGTATGTTAACGATACGAAATGTGTGAACCGGCAGGGGGAGAAGGAAAAGGGGAAGGGGGGAGGCGAGGCGACGAGTCCGTGACGCGCGAAGGGCGCGCGACGCGACTCGACTTTCACGGAGGACGCACGAAGGGGTTGCCCTTCGTCCTGCTTCCGAGGGGGCCCAGCCTTTTCTGAGAAGAGAGAAGATCATCGCGGCTTCCTACCTCTTTCACGCGACGGTGCGATCGAGGCAGCCACGTGGATGTTCTCTCTGCCTCACTTAAGTCGCGCCGCGCGATTCGCGCGGCTGCTCGTCGCTCGTCGTGGAGACGAGGGGGAAAACGCGCCCTTCCGACACACAAGGAGAGTCCCGGCTGACGAA